TATTATTTTTAGTATTAGTAATAGTGATGAAGGGCATATTACTGCTAAATATGATCGTGGTTTTGCGCAGCTTGTCAGTAAACAACGGCTCTGTGTAGTTAATGCTGCTCAATATGAAAGCCCGCACGTGATGGAGATTTACCGCTGATTACAGAACCGGCTTTCTGACAAGATGCGCGTTAAATATCGCATGCGATTTATCGTGCAGCCCTAATTTATACTGTCAAATATTTCATGCTACACTACAAGTTACCAAACTTTCTCTCTTAAATTCGGCACTTTCAAACGCTCAAACCCTTGAGCTTCTAACATTTCAAATCCTTAAGCGTTTATTTTGTGGAATAACTGGTAAAATTCTGTAAACTTCCACAGAAAAGTATGCAAATGTGTAAATAAAGTTAACCAAGCACACGTTGTGTTTCCAAAATGCACATTAAACTCATCACATTAGGCATGCAACTGTATTAAACTTTAATGCTATAAGCTATATTGCAACTTTATTTTGCTAAATTGTGCATTTGATTTTACAAATTATAAACAACTTGTGAAGCCCCAGGGAAACTCTGCATTATCTGACAGTGATTTAAGGGCACTTTTGGTTTGTTTGAATGATAAATTGCTCTTGTTCACTGTACAAGCACATCTGTTTGCCATTCATGCAATGTTCTAAGAGATACAGAAACAAAGGACGACTCAAACGCTTGAACAACTGGAAGCCCATGAGCGAAGCTGCAGCCGTTCAGAGCAACTGCTGTTCAACGGTTAAAGAAAGCAGCTTCATTCTAGAATCACAAATTCACTTCAAATTCTGTTTGAAATTTAAATCCCACTGTAGGCAGTTTCACACTTAAAATGACAACTCATTGATTTTGGTTTTCAACTTTACTAGAAGGGCTCAGGCACAAAATGATACAATGATGCAATTTTTTACACTCCATTAAAAAGTAACAAAGTAACAAATATTTTAGGTAAATTAATGGGCATAGAAGAAGAAACTTTCTCACTGCTATTATTTTATTTTTTTTCATCTCTGAATTGTACATTAAACAGTTTTATATGCTGCACTACAAACACACACACACACACTCACACTCACACACAACAATAAGTGCGATATATATCGTCTGCAATAATATTGTAATTGTTGTTTTA